GCAATTTCTTCCTGAATTTTGAGGATTGAGATTCAGTTACATCTATTTCAGCCACCCTTTCAAACAACCCTCATCATTAGCTTTATTAGCAATTTGTTTTATTAATGTGCTCTTACCTATCCCTTGTGATCCAGGGAGTCCAATAATTTTCATATTGGGATCTTTAGTGTTTCATTATGGTCTTTCACAATGGATTTTCTACTATCAAATTCAATGTAGCTAGAATTAGAATGAAGTGATGTCAAAAGATGTATTTTCTCTGCATGAGGAAACTTCGTCAACCTTGGGGGACTCATCTTTTAGCTCTCAAAGCCTCCATTTCCATTTTTTTGCTTGTCTCTCCCAGTTTGTGCCTATAGTAAGGAAGAAATAATAGAACCCCTTGTCTTCTTGTGACCTGCATTGTTTCCTGTAGTTCTCAACACCTTCTCAAATTACCCACTTCCCCAAGCCATTCTTCAACCTAGTTTAACTATGTGACCCTTTCTTTTAGCTTCATCACGTTGACATCTAACTCTCTTTTACTTCTCAAGACGCTTAACTTTCTTTTTTAGTTCTTCAAAATTTTTCGTGTAACGAAAAATGTAGGTCACATGCTTAATACCATGATCCCATAGCAAAACAATTGCACGGATCAAATATTTTCACACAGTATCCATACTTCGAACTTCTTTTTCTTCTATCCTCCTCGACTACATCTCTTTGCTAACGAAACACAGTGAAAATAAATCAGTATAGTGACTAATATAAGAAAAATAAAAGATATTTTATTAAATAAAAATCACAAATACATTTAAATATATGGCTTAATACCTTATTTTGGTTCCCAGTTTCGTTCGCGTTACTTAATAAGAGAGAAAAATAATTAACGCCGTTTGTACGGATTTAACGGAAGGGATTTCATTGATGCAAATTTTATTAAGTGAGGACGTAATTGACGCATTTTTTAAAGGATGAACTAATTTGACATTTTCGACCGAAACTGGGGACAAAATAGGATATTAAGCCTAAATATATTGAATCAAGAAACCAAGGTTTAAAAAAAATGCGAATATATATTGAATCACAAACCCTCTTTTTAATAAAATTGATAGTTTTGATAGTTATCATTGCAACCTTCCAAGAAAATCGTAATTTGCAGAGCACATATTGCTACTACTGAGGGCTGCATTGATCACCATGTGTCATTGGAGAGTAAATGGTTAAATTCGTCCTTGAAAATACTATTAAGTTAACTTTGATGTTCATGTTTCACCAATGGTAATTAGTATATCAAACTTTACACACAGGCTATCATAATTAACACGTTCTCTTGACCTAGAAAAAAGTCCATTCTACGTGAGACAAAATCAGTTTATATATATATATATATATATTAGTAAAAATTATGTATGAAATTAATCTCCCTTTATTGAATATACGCATAGGGTCTTCGATTTATAATAGAAGAAATTCCTTTATTGAATATAAACATAGGATTTTTTATTTATAATAGAAGAAATATAGGCTAAGCCCAAAAGATAAATAAGAAATAATAAAAAAAAAGTTTAATACCTATTTTGTTCCCTCGGTTTGTAGGGTATGTTCAAAGTTGTGCTTCTTTTTTTTCAAAAGTTCACTAACGTCCTATATTTTGAAAAAACGGTTCAAGTTTATCCTTTCTGCTTACGGCGTTAAAAATCTAACGGCGTAATGTCCACGTTAGCCAATAATAAATGATGTGTCCAGTTATGTGGCAACTAATAAATCGATGTGGCAATTAAGTATAATTTTTTGAATCCAAGCACGCTTCTGTACATCCTCAGTCCAAGGTAGATTCCATCTATGCAGAACCCTGGGCGCCAACAACAGTTCCATCCAGTTCTCAATCACAAATCATAAATCATCTTTTTCTTCTGCAGTTCCATTCAGTTCTCAATCCTCTTCCACTAGTTCCCCTCCCTCCATCGCACCAAATCCATCACCATCGCTCCAGTGTTGAAATAAAAAGGCTTTTGAGAAGAGAACACGCAAGAGAGTAAAGGGTCGTTCCAGAACTCCTCAACGGGTTTTCCAAGGTCAGTCGGATTGAAGACGAGATTAGGTTAATCACTGTGTCTTCTCTAAAGATGTAGACTTTGAAGTTTAGAGAGGGGAAGATGGACCGAATGAGGCGGGTCAAGACTCGCGGGCTTGCCGGGTCAAACTTCGCCGCAACGAAGTGGAAGAACACACTTTTCGAGGACGAGGAGTGGCGAAGAAAGGAGTGCACAGTGGCGATGGGACCGTGAAGGTAGCTGGAGTCGAGGGTCATGGCGATGTGGACCAGAGACGGGTCGCACGAGCGGATAGCGGTGTGGGTGGAGGAAACGGGGTAGCCCGCCCCATTTTGGTACCTCGGTGCCTCGGCGTAGTGGAAGAACGAGTTGTCGTCTTCGGTGGTCGAAAAAAACGGATTCCGAGGCAGAAGAACGGGGAAAAAAGTAGGCAGAGAATGAGAAAGGAAACGATGACTCTGAAGCGAAGGGGAAGCATTGGAGTATTCCGGGGAGGAATATCTCATGAATGTATATTGGAATTTGGTAAAGTATGAATGTGGGCATGTTAAGCTAGCAGTTCATCCTGATGTTCTGTGATTACTCGTCCTTACGTAGAGGAGGGTAAGTCATGTGTGGGAACGGCAGGAGGTCCTAGTCCTTATGGTTAATTTGGATAGATAGGACTAACCTCAGGTGCAGCTGTTGAGGGTATCTCAGTTACTACATCACCCAAGTACACGAACGTCGTAGCTACACAGAATTCATACAGTCCAGACAGTCGGAGTCTAATATTAGGCTTTGCATGAACGAGTGATGAATTATTTGTTTGGTTGATTGTGTGAAATATATGCTTATACATGAATTGAATTACATAAGTTTACCCTATGTTTCCTATCATGTCTATTTTGTACGTTCAGTTGTCTTTCTGTTGCAATGATCATCTATGTGGATGTGAGCAGAAGGAGACGAGCTGTTGGAAGAAGCGCTGGAAGAAGGACTGTTTTAAGAAGCGCTGGAGACGAGGGTTACTTGTGTTGTTCGGTTTTAATCTTCCTTTTTCTTTTGTAGGACCGTTCGGTATATTCTTTTGTAAACCGCTCGGTCAAAATTGCATCGATGTACAGTTTTAAGTTTCTAGTTCTTTCTGTGGGCCGTTCGGCCACAAGCGTACTTTCTCTATTAATGTAAGACTGATCTGTAATATTATTCAATCTGATTATTCTATTATATAATTTTAGACTGTATTTTTGGGATATTACATAATATATTTTCTAGAACCTGTTATTATTTATACAATAAAAAGTTAAATTTAAGTTTTACTTATGGATTATATTTTTATATTTTTTTACTTTCAGTCGAATGTAAACTGTTTGATAAAAATATAAAGATTTTTTAATGTATTTTTGTAAACATTATTGTCTAATTCAGCTATAAGTTCAAATGTGTTAACAAGCCTCTTAGAAAAGAAAAATAAATACTTATTACTTACTACAAGACCATGAACTTATCGTAGAGTTGGCCAATTCCGTAACAAATAAAATAACTAGATGAGTGAAATTAAATATGATTTTTCATTTCTAAATGAAGATTTTCAGGGTAGTGTGAGCTTTGAGGATTTTCTTTGATGAAAGGTGCCAGAACCAGTAAAATCAAAAGTCAGAAACCAGTAAAATTCACGCACGTATTGTTTAGTGGAATTCACGTGTCAAGAGGGAAGCTCGACACTCAGATGATGAACGCCAGGTGTCAAGCGAAGAAGATCCGAAAATCAGTTAGTGGAAAACAGGTGTCGACAGAAAGGGGACGTTCGTTCTGACGTGTGATGCAAAACTGGATTTTCAGAGAATCTACTCCCCTATCTGCATGCACCCTCTTTTCAGATTTCTGAAGAATCCCATTCTCTCCTCCTTCTCTCTACATCTTCTTCATCTTCTCTATGAGAAAACACTCATTCTCTCTCCTCTGATCACTATTCTGGCACCGTAAGATCACTTTCGGCGTTCCAAGCTTTAGTCTGATCCGATTGGTTTCAAATTCTCAACAGGTAAGTTTTTTTGTCTTTAACCGTTCGTTCTTGTAAACATGCAAACCAAATTCTGGTTGCATGAGCCTTAGTTTCATTCTGAACGAATTGGTCTGTTGTTTTACTTTGGTTCGAAGAGTCGTTGAGCGTTGAGGGTAGAAAGGATCGTAGTTCGTTGAACTGAGTCTCAGTCTGAGGGACGTACGTTCACGCTCTGAGGTAAGGGAAGCTTATTTAATTTAATTTGTATTTGTATGTTGTTATACTGCATGAATGTTCGTTATTTGACTGAATGATCTTGATGCATGATGGTTGATATGATTGGATTGAATGAACGTTCGTTTATTTAATGAGTGAAAATGAAATATGGCTGAGTTATGTTTTAATGTATGAATTATATGAAACTTATATGATATGGATTGTTTGGAGTGTGAAAGTTAAATTTGATATGAATGTATAAAGTATGAAAATATATGTTAGGAAATGAGTTTGAAAAGAAATGATTCTGGTATGAAATTTCTTATATAAAAGTGTACGTTCGTTCCTGAACAGTCGTTGACCGTTCGGTTTCCCTGGTAAACATAATTGAAACGGGATTCTTTCAATTAGAGAGAATCCTAGTTGAGGACGAGCGTCCTCATGTGATAATACTATGCTTGAGTGTTCGACCAAGCATAGCTGTATATGGGTATCCTTTGATAAACTAAATCTTTATATATATGTAATGGTATATTTTCATCGTTCGTAAACATTACTTCGATAGTATCTTATTATATTTATCAAGTCTGTTATTATAAGTTTATTGGTGTTCGGTCTTATACCAAGCGCTCGTACTGAGTAGTGCTCGGTCTTACACCAAGCGCTCGTACTGAGTAGTGCTCGGTCTTACACCAAGCGCTCGTTCTCATTTCTTATATAACCTATATTGATGAAAAACAGCGTTCGTCTAATTTCAATAGAATTTCTTCTCTACCGTGCTCGGTCATTGACTGGTATTCGGATTTCTTGATGTAAATTCAAATAAGCTAAACATTCATAAACGTTCGGTTACTTCAAGTGAATGCTTCTAAGTATTATTATTGGAATATCTTGAAGTGTCTGTATCGATTGGT